GAGGAAACTGTGAGAAGTAAAAATGCTGTGGGCTTTTACCATCCTCTGAAAGTATGTGTATGTGGGAATGTACCTTGTCTCTCTGTTAAAACTCTGTTTACATCATATCCTTGTGAAGCAATATGTGGAAAAATAGACTCCATGACCTGACGAGTTATGAAGTGGGTATGTATGTCAGCATAAGCAAGATAGCTCTTATGAAAACTTGTGCCCTGAGCCCTGGTCTGAGCTACATCTTTATTCACAAAGGTGTTCCATTTACATTACATCGCACAAACCTTTTCATGCACATTCAACTCCTGGCCCCGCCTGTCCTTTCCTTGCATGGTAATTAGATCCATGCCCTTCTGGGCATGTGTTGTTCACGGTGGTGGTCTCACAGGGGTCTTTGGGTGGTCTCTGAGGCTGAAGGCCGTGGTCTTCCTCATGGTTGAACTTTTGAACTTTTCTTCTTTGTGCGTGTGCTTTGGTCCCTTGGTGCTTATCTGAGTAGGTCTGTCGATTTCTATCAGCTTGGATACAGAGGAGCCCCTTTATCTGGGTTTCTTGCATTCCTTGGTCTTCTCCCGGTATTGTTCTTTATTTCAAGAAGCTTCAGAAATTTGCATTTTCCTATGCCCTTTGTACCATGGCAGAGGTTTCTTAAGTAAAAGGTTAAAATTCAACACATAATTCTACAAGCTAAAATTTAAATGCTTAATTCATATTGCTAACATAAGTGAAGCCCCAAAATCTCCATTTCAGTCCGTCTTTTCTTAACATATAGTAAATTATTATTATTATACTACAGGAGCCCTGATCTAAATTCTGACCTACAATCATGACAGTTCTCCTTCAGCAAGATTCCATGAGTTCTAGAGAGTAAAATCAAAATGGCCACGGGTCTCAACATCCTCCAATTCCACATGAGTGTTAAAATAGACATCATTAAACTTATAGTAACTAAAATTAATAGAACTATAACGGGGTGACACAAAGTATTCATGATCCCAGTTGCAGTTAGTGACCACCCAAACAGTGCATCCCACCAGTTATGACTTGTGTCTTGTTTTACTCTTTGCAGGACTCTCTATTTCTGTTACATTGTGATGGACAGTTACTAGAGTTCTCTGCCCATTCATTTGAATCTCTTTTACAATTTTTTTAGATCCTGATGTTTCATTAATTGTTTTACTAGAGTTAAATTCCTTCCAATGGGTGTGGGTGGTAACTCGTTGTATGTTGTATAGTTTGATTTTATTAACTGGTGGGATACAACTGGTGCTGAATATACAAAGTCACACCCAGTAACCTTAATAAAGTTGCAAATACAAAAATTGGAATGATTCTTAACAGATAAGGGTACCTTGCTCTTATCAATTTCTATGTAGTCACACAAAGTCCTTAAACACACACAGCCATCACCTACATACACTAGTACAGTCCGTTGGTTGGCGTCCGGGTGGATCTCAAAGTAGCAGATGCCTTGGTCAGTGTCAAGGCATATGTCCTGAGCACTAATTGAATTACTCTCACAGATGAATTCCTATTGTTCTTGAGCAATGCAAGGCTCCAAGTTTACAGTTTGCCATTTCCCCTGGATTTTCCAGGCCCATACCCTATGTTCTGAGGGGTATAATACTGACTTCTCATGACGTAACCCTAAAGCAACAATGGGGTGAATAGCGTGAACCGTGGCATTATGTATAGTGAACAGAAAGGCCATAGCTGTGTTAGTGGTGGGATTATGCATTAAATTTACCATGGCCCACCAAGATTGGAAATCTCTCTCCAAGTCTGTGGCACTGCCCCAGACAAGCTTTTGCACTTCAGTTAGGAACACCCCTTAACCTCCTTCTCTTATGATTAAAGCAGCTGTTGACTGTACCCATAATTATGTTTGTATACAGCTAAGGGCTAAAGATATGTTATCCTATGCTCTCTTTAATGCATCTGCTAGTAAGCCATGGTCTTGATTTTCAATTTCTCTCTATTTTGGCAGCGCCCTCGAGACTTGCCACTGACTATTTCCCAAAGCCAATAGAGATGACCGTAAAGGCTGTTTTAATTTTATCAGATCGCTAGTTGCTGCAGCTAATTTATTCACTTGGGTGAAAATCAAGAAATGCAAATGACAAGAGCTCTGAGGGAACAACATTAATAACAAATATTAATTTTAGATTAATAATAGATCCAGGTTATCTTAAAAATCCTATTACTTCAAAAACATAAACCTGTAAGATGCCTTTAGGATTCATGTTATCTAGAGATTGGGTTAAAATATTCTTGTAATTGAAGGCCAGGATAGTAAACACTCCAGAGGGCTTTGTGAAAATCTCAAGAATAGACAGATTGAGACACTAGTCTTCATGCCTTTCACATTACCTCAAGATGCAAAGAATGAATTTGGAACAAGGCGCAGCCAGAATTTTGTTAAGCCTTACAGGCTGTTGAAGATTAATTTCAGCTGGAGTTGCCTGCAGTGGTCCTAAGTATATAGAGAGGAGAAAAGGTTGCTTAAATCCAGACTTAATCCAGCTCAGAATGATCAGATGAGACATGTTGTCTGTCCCATCCCATCTTCACCCCTCTCTTGCCTTTGCTGTGAGTCAGAACACCCAGTCTAGGTACCAAATGGAAGGAATTTCTCCAGTATGTTGTTTTTTCTCCAAAATAAAGGTTTAGAATTCTTTTTCTATATGCCAGAAGTGCAATATATAGGAAAAGATAACTATGATGTGCATCTTTCCATCCTCTGTTCTCCAAACACAACCGTTACTGAATCTCATAAACTGTCTGTGCCAGTCGTAAGGAATCCTCATGCTCCCAGTCCTGCCCCCATTCTGCCTGGTGCTCATGTAGGAGCTCGCAACAAAGAACTGAATGCATTGCCAGCTAAGTCTGTCACAGATACCCCAAAAGGGAATACTTTTGTGACAGCTATTTTTATATTTTTAGATATATATTTATACTTTGTATACAGTACTTGCTCTTTCTCTCTCTCTCCCCATGAGTACCAGCCACATTACTCAGAAGGCACTAATGCAGGTATTTGATAAGGTGATTGTAGCAATTTGACCTTATGGTGTAGATGTGTCTGTTGTAACTGTTACTAAATTGCTGGTTTAATTTTTATTTATTATCCAAGACCAAATGTGGAATTCTGCGTATGACAGTATAGTCACACTTGTTCATGCAAAGTAACATTAATGAATGACAGCTGGAGATCATAAATGCTGCTGAAGAAGGCAGAGTTTTACTCAATGTACTCCACAGATCTTAGATTAATGGTTTGGATTAGAAGGGATCTTAAGGATCATCCATTTCCTATGCGCAGGAATAACTTGCACTAGACCCAGTTACTCAGAGCCTGGCTCAAAACCTATCATTGAACTCTTTGAGGGATGGAGAATCCACAGGTGCTCTGGGCAGCTCATGCCAGTGCCTCAGTACCCTCACAATCAAGATTTCCTTCCTATGATCCCAGCTGAAACTACCCTCTGTCACTGTAAAGCCATTTCCCCTTGTTCTATTAGAACCTGCCCTTGTAAGAAAGCTCTCTGCAGCTTTCTTTTAGGCTCCTCTTCTTGGAGGCTGGGCTGTGCAGCCCCTGGGAAATTTCACTGGTAGCCTGCTCTCTGCAGCCTTTTCCCCACAAGATTCTTCCTGAAACACAAATTCTGTGGAACAGGGCTCCTTCAGGAAGCATGTGTGTGCTTGGGTCAGGAGCCAATCCAGTCACAGCCACAGTGGGTGAGCAGTGAAGTGCCCAAGCTGCATCATTCTTCCTGCAGAAGTGCAGTGAAATGCAGGTGCAGCACAGTCTGTGCTGGTGTCATCAGCCAGAGAAATGTCCTCTGGCAGGCTCCATGCCCTTGCTGCCAGTGAGTTTTGGGCTGTTTTGGACTCGATCTAATGAGAGCACTTCTGGCACCTTCACGCCAGCGTGGCCAGTGACATACAGAAATTGAATTCTGTAGACAGAGGAGGATGCTCCTGCTCTAAGCCAAAGGCCACTGTCCATGCCATGGAAAATTAAGGGCAAATGAGTTTCTTTCCCATCCTGTCATGATTATCTACAGTCCTCAGGCAAATAGCACACCATGCTGCAGTTTGCTTCTGAGCAGCTGCCTCTTTGACTGCTCCTTCTCTCCATTGGCCAGGCTTATACAGCCCTCTCATCTTCCTCGACTCCTCCCATTCTCTGCCCTTGTCACCTCCCAAATATGGAGCCATGTCCAGGCATCATTTGCCCCTGGCTCACAGGTTGGCTGTGCCTGTGAACAGCCTTGGTGTTGCAGGTGGTGTTGGCCCACTCACCTTGGCCTTCCACAGAATTCCTGGTGTACTTTCCTACAGTTCCTGCCAGGTTCCTCTCACCAGAATGACCCCAGCAGTTCCTCTGAGTATCTGTGAAGTGTGACCACTTGGCACATCAATCCCCCTTTGCTGCCTGTGAAATCTGGCTCTGCCTTAGGGCACTGACACTCCAGTCAGGAGCCAGGAGTTTCCCTTGTCATGTCTGGGAGTTTCCCAGATCTGTTCCCTTAGCCCAGGCTCACACCAGGCCCTAATTAGCAGCCCATGTGCATTTGAGCACCACCCCCAAGGTGTCAGCTTTTATCCTGTTCTCTTCTGAGGCTTGATGTAGCAGCTTCCTCCAGTGGTGGCTCAGAGCACTCTCCTTTCTCACCAGGCACTTTGCAGCTCTTTGGAGCCACTCTGTCCCTTTGTGCCTGGCAGGTCTGACCTCAGGCTCATTCTGCAGGTGCCAACCATGGAAGTCCTTGCCTTGCCCAGGATTTGGAATTGGACCAAAATGATGGTTCCCTGTGACCGTAGGCAACTTTACTTCATTCAGGGAAGTCAACTCCATTGTGTGTGAGCACAGAGGAGAGGACTGTGATCAGGACAGAGCAGGGTTTTGACCTTGAGGCTGCCTTTGGATCAGCAGGCATTGCCCCAGCAGGAAACTGTTGTGGTGCACTGCAGTACGCCCTGGACCATAGCTGTCCTGTTGCTCAATATGTGTTTTGACCAAAGGTCTGCTGGAGGAGTTCCTTCACTCGAGTAAAGAATTTCATCAGAATCTTGAAGGGAAATGGGCAGCAGTTAACTTTGCCCAATGTTGGTATTGGAGTTGGTTTTGGAGAGAGTGTTGATCTTACCCATGGCTTCTGAGAGGGTTGTGGGGTGGGAATATAATGACTCCAGGGGTGTGAAGTGATCAAAAAATGACTACATGCCCGAGATGATGGAGAGGAACTTCCATCTGGGCTCAGGTTCATGTAGAAATCAATCCAGTCATAGAAGTGCTGCGTGGAGAGGTAGATTCCAGGACGCCTTGCTCTGGCACAGCCTTTTCCCCAGCTGGTTATTCCAATGACCCACCAGTAGTCACTGTTTTTCTCTTGGCACATGAGAGGACCACCACTGTCACCCTGCAGCAGAGCACAGAGGATTAAGGTGGTGTTGGGTGGCCCCTGTCAGCACTAAGCTGTCTCCCTCTCTCTCACAGAAAGAACTGTATTCAGGCGCTTGAGCCTCCAGAAGCTTGGCTGTGAATGGCATGGGGTCCTATAGGGTAGGGTTCTCTGTGTTGTCCCTGCACAGGACTCCTGGATGTGCAGAGGATGGATGTTTGGCACCTGGACCTCTGTGCTGCCAAGAGCACTAGCTGGGTTTTCTGGGCTTTTGGCACAAGGGGAGTCCTGGGCAGGCAGGTGTGGATGGGGAGTGTGTGGGAAGGCCCCAGAGCAGTCGGGGGGGAGCTGGGGCTGGGAGGGCGACTGAGTGGCCGGGCAAAGCAGGCCCGGGCTGTGTTGGGGTGGTGCTGCCCTGACTGCCAGTGCTGCTGGGGTTGAGTGGCTTGTGGCACACTCCTACCTGGCAGGGGTCGATGAGGCCCTGTGGGTAACCAGCACACAAGTTGTGGGTGTGGATTTTCCCTATGTACCAGCGGCTGCTGTTGCAGAGCTGGACATCGATGAGCTGGACCTTGGCCTCTTGCAAGTGATCACTTGATTTTTGAGCTGTGAGCAAGAGAAACTAATGAGACCCCAGCAGCTCCTTCACAGTCTCCTCCCATGGCTGTCTTCTGGGGGATCCATGGCTTGGCTTTGCCTCTGCAGAAGCACTAGATCTGCTGAAAGTCTTTGGGGTGCAAGCCAGGCCCATCTCTGCAGAGGTGTATGTCCTGCAGCCTGACTCCAACTTTGGCCTCTTCTGTGGAGAAGCCCAAGCACTCCAGGGCTGAGCTGGCCCAGAAGTCACTCTTGGGGACTCACCTCTTGGAGCAGTGGAACCCCAGCCAGCCACCCAGCAGTTCTGCAGCTCTGACACTTTCAGTGTGGCGTCGGGCACACAGGCCAGCTGGATGTAGCGATTGCACTGGACCGGATGGTCCAATTCCATCAGGGCAATATCGTAGCTCATGTCAGCAGAGTTGTAGTATTGGTGAATCAGCACCTGCTTGACATGGCGCACTTGTGCCCCAGAGCCCGGTTGACTCAACTGGGTGGCCCCAGTCACCACATACACCATGCTGATTTCCCTAGAAGGCATGGAGAGAGAGCTGAGAGGGAGCAGAGACATGTGCCACAGCAGCTCAGCAGTCTCCTGGCATGGCAGTGAGGGAGCAGTGCTCTGGCAGGTGTGAGTGCCTTCACACACCTTAGGCTGAGGGAATGTCAAGCTTGAGGCTGCTAGGAAGCCTTGGCATGAGCCCAGGGGGGCTTCTCCTGAGCAGTGTGGCAGCCTGGCTGCCTGAGAGGAAAGGGGATGGGAGTAGCAGGTGATGCTGCTGACAGGGCAACTGCTGGTGTTGTGGAGATGTCCCCATTCCCTACTCCTCCTTACGTGACCTTGTCGAAGCAGTGGGCTGCTGTGAGGACCCACTGTGTGCTGATGAGTGACCCTCCACACAGATGCTTCAGGCCTGGTATCCAGGGGTGCTGGATACTGACGATCCAGGGCCAGGCCCCTGGCAGGGCACCGGCGCCACCGACGACACGTGTCATGCCGGAGTCATATGCCATGTTGCCGTAAGAATTAGTTGTGGGGTGATAGACAGATTGCAGAGCTCGGAGCCCGCAGGTCCCTCTGCAAGCAGAAAGTGATTTCCATGCTGCTTCATGGCCTGCTGTGGCTCAGGCTGAAGCTCAGCCCTCTGCCCTCCCCACAAGGCCTTGCACGCACAGCAGGCCAGGGAAGCCTAAGGCGTGTGCGTCTGTCCGTGCCAGCACCTGGTTCCTGGCAAGGAACTGAAGCTTCCCAATGTGGGATCTTGTTCCTGTTGATGTTTTTACCTCAGATGCTTTTATAGAATGTTTTGACCTCAGATAGTGGCAGACAGTATGCTGAGAAGGGACACCTGACCATGCCACAGTGGGAACCATGGGGTCTTGGGAATTAGTAGTATGCTTACAGAACTTTCCTATATTTGGTCAAGTTTCCAGTTTCCTTCACCTTTGATCAAGACCTTTTTCTTATCAGGTCATATCCTCAGTTCACCTTTCTGGCTGTACATTGTGCCCCTATACCTGGCTGCATTTGCCCTGCCCATGGGGTCTTTGGAACCTAGCCTCTGTACCTGTGTGATGTTTGTTATTTTCGCTATTAAAGTTTTTTATTTTCTGGACAGTTCCATCGTTCTCGTCCCTTCTTATTAGGCCAGCTCCTCCCAGACAATTTGTGCAGGGGAATCACAGTGAGCTTCTGTGCTCATACCCCATTGTGGATGGGACGTTGTAGTTCAGCCATGGGGGAAAGGCGGGTCCCCTCCAGGGAGGGCCGCAAGTGCTGCCATGCCCCCCCTGGGCCTGGGGCCACTTACCCGCAGGTGTACTGGATACTCTGTGCCAGCCTGGCCATGGTCAGCAGGACGAGGAGGGCAAAGCAATTCATGGCTGCCAGAGGCATGTGTCAGCTGCAAGCACTGAGGGCTCCGTGCAGCAGCACAGCCACAGCCGCAGTGACCACAGCAGCCGCGCTGCCCTTGGCCCTGAGGCTGATGTCACGGAGGGGTGGGTTCCATGTTCTGGGCACTGTGGGAGGAGCTGCATCGAATCAAGAAGCCATAGAATGGTTTGGGCTGGAAGGGCCCTTGAAGATCACATAGTTCCAACCCGCTACCATGGGGAGCTATGTGATCTTCGAGGGAGGGATAGCTTGCAGTGGACCCAGTTGTCCACAATGTGCACAGCCTGGCTCAGAACCTGTCCTTGAACACTTTGAGGGATGGGGCATTGAAGTACTAAGTCCTGATCAACAGGCCCTGACTAAGGCTAAAACAACAGGCCTTGACCAAGAGCTGGCCTCTGGATGAATCTTCCAACCAAATGTTACATATTTGCTCACTGGCAAAACATGGATTTACCTTTCCATACTCAGGGACTGGACAAGGCCCTATCTCGCCTTGTTTGGGGGTTGTAGGATCACAAACAACTCCCTTGGTTCCTCCTGAATCCTTCCAAGGCTTTGAGGGAATCCCAGTAGGAGACTGAAACCACGTGTTACTGCAGTAGAACTTTTGGTATCTTGTTTATTCAATGGTATAAAAACAGGGAGCACTCACACACAGTCAGTAACCTCTCTGCCTGTAGGCAGAGGTACCTGCAGGATTTGCCTGCTGCTGTCAGTGGTTCCCCTGTCCTTCACTGTGATAGTGGTTCCCCCCAGTTGATAGGCAGGCCTGGATGATGGTCAAGGATTAGGGTAACTTGTGATGTGTCTTTCTTTATCAGTGTAGGCAGTTGTTATAGTAATGATTAGATGCATTGCATGGTATATCCTTTTGCAATTCTTTGCTAATGATTTGATGTCCTGCTTACATATCCTTTTGCAATTCTTTGCAGGTTTGAATTATAGTAAATTACATTTATTCCTGAAGTTGGTGTCTCTGTCTTCTGTGCTGACCCTGTCTACATGAAAAACAGACATCCACAGTTGCTCTGGGTAACCTATATCAGTATATCAGCAAGAATTCATCAAAGTTTTCACTGTCAAGAATTCCTTCCTATGATCTCAGCTGAAGCTGCCCTCTGTCACTGTAAAGCAATTGCCCCTTGTCCCATCAGGACCCGCACTTGTAAGAAGGCTCTCTGCTGCTTTCTTTAGGCCCCTCTTCTTGCAGGATGAGGCTTGAGGATGAGTGCAGTCCGGCAGGCAGCAGCTGAGGAATCCCTTTGGGGCAGGGAGCTGGGTGTGCAGCTGCAGCGCCAGCTGCAGATTGAGCTCTGGCTGGCAGGAGCCTGGGACCAGAGGCTGCACACCCTTCACATGACAGAGGGCACAGGGAGTAGGCCAGGGCACTAGACACTTATTGGAGTTTGAGATTTTTTTTCATCTCCTTTTCTCTCAGGGAATTTTCTCCTGTTTGTTGCCTAAGAAATCAGAACAACAGATACTTAAGAGAGACAAAAGATATAACCAAGGAGGAGTAGGAAGGGTGCAGTTTGCTACTGTCTCTGAGCAGTGAGGTTCTCTTGGGAAGTGTTGAGATACTGTGAGATTTTGGCTGGGGTTGAGGGACTAGGCTCAGTTCCTCAGTCTCCTCAGAGCCAGAGGGGAATGGCCCAGTTTGCTGCTGCTGTGGGCGAATTTGCTGCCACAGTGGAATTCTGTTGTGAACTGCTTTTCTCCTTTCTGTGGGTGAGCTTCTGCTCACAAGAGCAGCTGTTGAACTGGGACCTTTCCAACATGCAGCCTCACTGGGAAGGTGATCCTGACTCCTTCCCCCTTCCCAGAGGGTGTATCTCCCAGCTGCTTGTGGCTGCTGCTTGCAGTAGCCTGGCAGCCACTGCCCAGCTGTGCTGTTTTATGACAATGATTTAGGCTTTTTTATTACACATTAACCTGACACTCCATGCCTGCCCAAACATTCTGCGGCTTCTAGCACGGCTCTGGAATCTTTGCTACACTTTGTTTGTCACTCCGGGATGGGCCTGCCTCTGCTGTTCCAGTCTGTTACTACGAAGTTCCTGCTGCAGTCCATTCAGCTTTCCGAGTGGCACTGAGACTGACTTCTTCCTGTGAGTTTCCAAAGGAAGCCCCTTCTTTATCTCTTCCGCCATTGCCAAGTTGAGCGAGGCGGCCGAGCTCACGCTACAGCACCCCCTGCAGCCTTGGGGGAATCATCGCACCCACCCTGCCTGGCCAGGAGCCACCAGTGCCCCTGCTGGCCATGACTGGAACTGCAGCAAAGGGGAAGCACCTGGGGTTGAGAGGCAGCTGGGACTGGGTTTCTGTTTCTGTTCTGTTTGTTGTACTGCCGTTGTTGTTCTTCATTTGCCTTTTAGAGGTACTCCTCTACATACTAGTAATGAACTGTTATTCCTGTTCTCATATCTTTGCCTGAAAACCCGGTAATTTCAAAGTTATAATTTAGAGGGAAGGAGGTCACATTTTCCATTCCGAAGGAGGTTCCCGCCTTCCTTGGCAGACACCTCTTTTAAACCAGGACAACACTGAGAGCTGCAGAAGGAGCTGGTGGCTCTTTATGTCTTTGGAATGAGACATCTGCAACTCTGCTGATGGAACCTCAGGATGGAATGGGTACAGAAACCCATTCCATTCCAAGAGCATTACAAATAAACAAAATCTAAAATGAATTAAACTCCTGTTTTATTCAGTGGAATAATAAAGAACAGCAGTATTTAGAGGCATAAATGTACCAACAATCTTAATTGAACTAGTATTTTTAAGCATGTGACTGAACCAAGTAATGGGCTAGGACAGAACCTATAATCAGCAATGATGTATTCAGACTCTGTTTGAAGTCTGTTTAAATTTAAGCTCAGAAAAATAGATTTTTAGCCTAATAAATTTGCCTCCTGGAGCATCTTTTTAACTGCTTGGCAGTATGCTATTGTGGTGCAAGAGTCACACCTATTAATCTGAAAATGCATTGGATCCTCTCTTAAGGAATAAGTTTTCTTCTGTGCATATTTATATCCTCCACAGCCTTGATGGTGATGCTCTGACTGGGTGAGAGTGGTATGGGTGGGGAATGAAACAGGGCACCTGGCAGCTCGCTGGAGCAACCCTTGTCTCTGGAATGGTCACACAGGGGAGTTTCTTCAGCACTATGGTAACCTAGATAGGAATGTAGAGGAGGGTCACCCTTGAGCCAAGAATGACACAAGAATAGAGACCCAAGAGAGACCCAGTTGCAAGAGGAGAAAAGGAAGCTTTATTACAAAGGGTTCTCTGGTTTATAGAGAGCGATATGATACATTCTACTTGATTGGCTAGTTAATAAAAAACATCTTTCTCACACGCCGTCCTTGAGAAGAACCGGAAAACAAAGTGGAAAAACACCACCTGCAGATTGTTTATGCTAACAAGTTATCACATTCCTACAACACCCTAAAATTCTTACAAGCCACTGTGAGAAACTATTGCTTTTTCTCTCTCCCTGACCAGGCTGGCATCCACAGAGGAGTACCTCTGGAACCTCCCTCCTCTAAATATCCAGCTGCTGGGATTTTCAGGGCAGGAAGGAGACAGAGGAGGAGTGTTATAACTCTATGTGCAGAGTCTGTGTAAAATAAAAGGGTGGATTTGAGCCTCTCTATTATTGTGACATTTGGTGCAGATTTGGTAAAATCATGGGTAGTGGGTGAAGAAGGCATGCACAGCATGATCAGCCTAAGGTGGCCACAGAGGAGTTGTGGAGGCCCCCATAAGTTCTGAGGTGGAGAGGCTCGAGTCTCTGCTTGAAGCTTTTGGAGACAGGCACAGGGAGAGCCTTGTGTCCCTTGTGCCACACAATGGGTGATAGAGCACACACAGAAAGGGGTGGAAGTCCCTTCTTGGTGTTATAGATAATGAGATAATTGGATCTCGCAATTAAGGAATGACTATTGTGTGAATATTAAGAGAAGCTATAGATGTATAGTTATGTTATTGTAGTTTAGATGTCCTCTGTTCTCCCCATAGTTCCCTTTTCCAACCCCCTCCTCTCTATTGTGACCATCAGACAGCCTGGGTTGTCTTAGACAAGGAGAAAGAAAGC